TATAATTTGAAGCTTATGAAGCTACTTTTTCCAGGAGAACTATTTGCTTCTGCCAGGATCTTTGGAGAACAGCACTGTGGAATCAGCTCAATCCAATTTTAGAGACCAATATGATTCAAAACTAAGGGCAGTCCCGACAAAAGCCTGTCAGCTGCATATTCCTATCTACCCACATTCCTAAAGTATAGACATCCAAGCTAAACCAAAGTTGGGAGCAGGGGGGAGAGGTTGCTCATGAGATTCACCACCTTGGTGGGCTCTGTCTGCCCTAATCCCAGTCTCCTAGTCTTGAGGCTGTCAGCTGTTCGCTCAGATTGATATAAACCCCAAAGGAAAAAGTTGCTCCAAACATTGGGCTCATCTCCCAGGGCCTCTATCTTCCTCAGTTTCTTAGTTATCAGTAATTCTTAGTTATCAGTTATCTTGTATATCCAAAGACTTTAGGAAGATTCTATTTTAGATTAACTTCTACAATAGACCTATACCTTCTATAGAATATATACATTCCACTCAGCTTTTCTACATGTATTTAGTGGGATTGTTGGTCTGAATTAACTACTCCATCACTGCTCTAAGTGGAAATCTTCTAAGTACTAGTAATAATCCCTTGTTTATTAGTGATTTTAAAGATTGAAAATTAATCCACATATAATTCACCATTTAAAGTGTATAATTCAGAAATTTTCAGTATATTCACAGTTTTGAACCATCACAATGATCTAATTCCACATTTTCATCACCCCCCAAGGAAATCTCATAACCATTAGTATAGTCACTGCCTATTTCCCCTCCACCACTCCAGCTTCCTATCAATCACCAATCTATTTTCTACATCTTTGGATATGCCTATTCTGGACACTTTGTATAAATGAAATTTTAAATGTGTCCTTTTATATCTGGCTTCTTTTACATAGCACAATGTTCTTGTGTGTGTGTGTGTGTGTGTGTGTGTGTGTGTGTGTTTTATTTATTGTTTAAGGTATTACAAATAGTAGTACATATGTCTCCTTTTTTTTCCCCATTGACCTCCCCCCTGCCTCCCCTACCCTCCGGTACTTGTCCTCCCTGGCTCCCCAGTGTCTTGCGTCTATTGGTTGTGCTTAAATGCATGCATACAAGCCCTTCAGTTGATCTCTTACCCGCCCCCCAACCCTCTCTTACCTTCTCCCTGTAGTTTGACAGTCTGTTCGATGTTTCTTTGCCTCTATCTATTTTTGTTCAACAGTTTATAATGTTCTTTATATTCCATAAATGAGTGAGATTATGTGGTATTTATCTTTCACTGACTGGCTTATTTCACTTAGCATAGTGCTCTCCAGTTCCATCCACGCTGTTGCAAATGGTAAGAATTCCTTTTTTTTTTTTACAGCATAGTATTGTACCATGTATCAATACTTCGTTCCTTTTTTATTGCTTAATAATGTTCTATTGCATAGATATACTATTGTTTGTTCATCAGTCAATGGACATTTGGACTGTTTCCACTTTCAGTTGCTATGAATAATGCTATGAACACTCATGTACACATTTTTATTTACACATACATTTTTAATTCTCTGGATTATGTACTTAGGGGAATTGCTGGATCATATATAACTATGTTTACCTTTTTTAGGAACTTCCATACTATTTTCCAAAGCAGATACATTATTTTACACCACCACAGCAATATATAAGGGTTCTCCCTTGCTAACACTTGTTATTGTCTGTTTTATTTTTATTATAGCCATCCTAATGACCAAAATTTGTGCAAGGGGCTCAGCCCTTGCAGTCCCACCTTCTTCCAGAAGGTTGTCCAGACAGTTGTTCTGCTGTTCGGTCTAATTAGCATATTAGCTTTTTATTATATAGGATAGCCATCCTAATGATTGTAAAGTAGTATCTCCTTACTGTTTTGCATTTCACTAATGACTAATAATGTTGAGTACCTTTTCATGTGCTAATTAGCCAGTTGCACATTTTCTTTGTACAAATGTCTTTTCAAATCTTTTCCCCATTTTTTAAAATTGGATTGTCTTTTTATTGTTGAGTTGTAATATATTCTTCCTTAGAAGATACATGATTTGCCAATATTTTCTATGTCTGTGGATTGTCACAATTTTCAATTTCTTGATAGTATCTTTTGAAAAACAAGGATTTTTAATTTTGATGAATTCCACTTTACCTATTTTTACTTTTTTCACTGTGCTTTTGGTGTCAAATCTAAAAAATCATTGCCTAATACAAAGTCACACCTTTGTATTTCCTCTAATATTTACACCTTTGTTTTCTTCTAAGAATTTTATAGTTTCAGCTGTTAAACTTAGGTCTTTGATCCATTTTGAGTTAGTTTTTAGATACTTTGTGAAGTGGGAATCCAACTTCATTCTTTTATATACGTATAAGTATCCATTGTCCCAGCATGATTTCTTGAAAGACTAGTCTTTCACTATTGTCATGGTGCCCTTGTTAAAAAATGAATTTACCATAATGCAAAGGTTTGTTTCCATACTCTCCATTCTTTACTGTTGAGCTACATGTCCTTCCTTAAACCAGACCCTATAGTCAAAGAATCAGCTTTTGGTTTGATTTTTCTCCAATGTTTTACTATTTTCCATATCATTTTCACTTATTTCTGCTCTAATCTTTATTATTTCCTTTCTTCTTGCTTTAGGTTTAATTTGCTTTTCTTTCCCGTGTCTGTTCCTGTGAATTCAAATGACCACCTGGAGTACTTCCTTTGCCCAATGCAGCTTTACTTCCATCCACCACCTTTGTGCTATTATTAAAAATATATATTTCATTTCTACACCATGTTTCTCTTTTATTAGTGTAGATATATATTTCATTTCTAATATCAGAGACCCAACAATACATTATATACATTATCTTATACAATTGCTTTTAAAAAGAAAAATGTACGTTTACTATCTTTTATAATTACCTTTACCATTGCTCTTTGATTGTGTGTGTGTGTGTGTAAATTCAAATTACTGTCTGGGTCACTTGCTTTCAACCTGAAGAATTTCCCTTCCCTTTAGTATTCCTTGTAGGCGAGTCTGCCAGCAACAAATCCTCTCATCTTCTATTTATCTGCAAATGTCTTTATTTCACCTTCAGTTTTGAAACATAAGGATTCTTGGTTGACAGGTTTCCCCCCCTTCTTTGAGTATTTTGAACATGTTCTCCCACTATCTTTAGATCTCCACTATTTCTGTTGAGAGAAGTCACTTGTTAATCTTTTGAGGTTCTCTTGTAAGTGGTGAGTTGTTTTTCTCTTGCTGCTTTCAAGGTTTTCTTCTTATTTTTGTCTTTCAACATTTTCAACTGTTTATAGGTGTCTTGCATATATCCTATTTGGAGTTAAATGAGCTTCCTAGAAAAGTACTTTTTTTTTTTTTTTTTTAGTAAATTAGGGAACTTTTCAGCCATTATTTCTTCAAATGCTCTGCTGCTTTCTCTTCCCTTCTTCTGGTTCTCCCATCATGCATATGTTGGTGTGCTTAATAGTATCCCATATTTTTCTGAGGTTCTGTTCTTCATTCTTTTTTCTCCTGTTCTTTGGATTACATAACCTCCATTGATCTATCTTCAAGTATACTAACCTTTCTTTGCCATTTCAAATCTTCTATTGAACCCTACTAGTCAATTTTTCATTTTAGTTGCATTTTTCAATTCCAGAATTTCCATTTGGTTCTTTTTCCTTTATAATTTCTATCTGTTTATATTATCTACTGGATGCAACCTCATTGTCATATCTTCCTGTTTGTTTTTTTAGGATATGATTTTATTGATTTCAGAGAAGGGAAAGTGAGAGAAACACTGATGTGAGAGAAAATCATCTATCAGTTGCTCCTCATACACATGCCAACTGAGGATCGAACCGGCAACCTACGCATGTGCCCTGACTAGGAATCAAAACTGCAACCTTTCGGTGTATGGGACGCTCCAACCAACTGAGCCACACCGGCGAGGGTACTTCCTTACTCTTTAAATTACGATTTCATTTAGTTCTTTGAAAATAATTATAATGACTACTTGGACGTCTTTGTTAAATCTGACATCTGGTCACTGTCATAGGCAGCTTCTATTGCCTGCTTCCCCCCCCCCCCCCAACACACACACAGTGTACGTATTATACTTTCCCTCTGCATGTCCTGTAACTTTTTGTTGGACATTTTAGATAACATACTGTAACAACTCTGGGTCTTAATCCACCTCCTCTCCCCCTGGGTTTGTTATTGTTATTTGTGTGCTTACTTGTTTCTCGACTGGCTAGATTATTTTAATGAAATCTGTTTCCCTTTTCTCCCATAATTTGTATTCAACCAAATATGAATTATTGTGTTCAGTCCTGAACACCACATTTGAAGAATACTAACAAATAAAAGCTTCCAGGATAGGGTGGGTTTCAAAATGTCATAGACAAAAAGGCTAAAGGAATTGAGGAGAGGTCACAGAACTTTGACAAATAGATAAACATTATAGCAAACAGACTTTAGCTCAAATATAAGGAAGATTTTTTTTTAAATAAGCAATTCAACTATGGCATATGCTACCTTATAAAATAATGAGGCTTCCATTTTTAAGCAGAAGTTTTCAAACTGTCACAACTATAAGTCCTTATTTGGGAGGGGAGGTGTGAGTAGATGATCACATTTTCTGTGACTGTCAAAAACCCTGGCCTTGAATATATCTAGCCATTTTGATATAAAGCAGAGTACTTTACATGCCTCTAAACATATACTACTATTATAAATAAACTATTCACTTCCAGAAACATTTGCTTACAAAGAAACCTTCTTAAATGTTTCCCTACCACACAGTTCCTTTGAAATTGCTATTTAAAAGTATTTTCCTGATTAGTCACATATCTAGATTACTACATAAGCCACTGAGAAAGGATTACTTTGAACTTCTACATTCTCTCAAGTACTTGCTTTAAAATACTAAAATAAAAATAGTTCATTTTTGAGAGTTGCTCAGTTTTTAAAATAAAATAATTGAGATCCAGCACTCACCAGAAGAAATCTTACCAGCACCTTTATAGTCAATAGAAAATGCAGATGTGACTCCATTGGCTGACCCCAGTTCGCACATGGAAATTTGATAAGGGGGTCTCAGCTTGATTTCCGTCTGCATGTCAGATAGATTTATCTTTGTTGAAAGAGACCTCGGATTATTATATCGCTGCTTGGTCCTCTGAATGAAGTTATCTATGTAAAATAAAAAATAAATGTCCTTGCAGTCATTTGTTAATTAAATAATTTGAGAGTGTGAGGTTTATGGGTAGTAAATTTTGCAGATAAACTGTTTAATTTGTTATCCAAAACTGTTGAATTGTCATGAAGTGTTCTAATATTTATGTTTCATGGTTAATATATCATGGAGTTATCAGTTGCTCACTCTAGAAATGATACCGCGTAGGAATTAATAATTGTAAGTAAACTAATGATTTAACACTATCTGACTGAGAATATTTCTACTAGTATATCCACTTCAATGAATTACTTTGAACTTCTACAACAAAACAAAAAAATAATAGCTTTAATTTTTAAACCAAAATCTTAATTTTTATAGGGATTCATATCTCATAAAATAGTAAGTCTGTATTTATCAGTTGCAATTCCATAAGAACATACACTGTAAATTCCATGTTCTTATAAACCTGTTTTCTTATTTATTGCTTACACCATTAGAATGCATATTTACAAAAAATAAATTTAATAAAAGACAATTCCTAAATATCTTCCAAGATATTTCCTAAATCAGCGGTTGCAAACCAGTGGTCTGCGAGGTCCTAAAGGTTGGCGACCACTGTCCTAAATAATATTCCAATTTTATTTTCACAATTTGTAACTTGGTTTCACTATTTTTTCCCTTGTACATCTGGAGTCAAAAAAATTAATGCCCACCGGCCAAATCTAGTCTGCTGACCATTTTTGCAAATAAAGTTTTATTAGAATATAACTGCATTCATCCATTTCTACATTGCCTATGGCTGCTTTCCAGCTATAATGGCAGGGCATCTTATGGTGCTTAAAGCCTAAAATAATTACTATACGGCCCTTTGCAGCAAATGTTTGCAAACCTCTGTTCTATATTAAGCAGACTATAAAAGATTATCACACAAACACAAAATTCTGAATCTCTGGCTTATAAATTTCTCATTCAGAAACTATCCTCTGGGATTAATTCTTTATGCCAATAATCAAAATTAGCTCCACAGCTCAAACTCAATTTTTTCTAATATGAAGATGTTGTCATAATTTATAGACCATTTGTTAAATTATTCTATCAAAAGCAGAATTTTTTGAGTTTTCCCTCTCCCCCATTTCTCCCCCCAGTGAAGATAAAAAATCCCTTATGACTGGCTGGAGACAGGATAATTAAAAGGAAAAAAAATCAAGCCCTTACCAAATTCAATGAAACAGTATGGCCTGACAGCAGTGTTGGTCTTCGACATGTTATAAGTAGTAATGAATTCCTTCTGAAGCTCATCCAGGAAAGAGAAGGCCAGAACATTTGGGTAATTTTCAGTGCACAACATCATGTAGCTCACTCCCAGAGAGCTAATAAAACTAGAGTATAAAAAACATCGGTTTAAAAATTTCAAAGTAAATTAAGGTAATTCGTTGCTTTACAAGACTGATTCTATTACAACATAAACTGCTGCTACAAGTGGCAATGAAGATATTAACATTATATATTCTAGCAAAAAATGTTAAAGAAACTAAATACTATTTTTAGTTGTGGTTTAAAAATAGTAGACAAAAAAGGGGAATATACCTACAGAGGAACACTCAGCATGGTATTAACACTTCAGTTATTTATCACTTGGGGTAGAAAGCAAGGGGAAAAAAGCTTTTCTGGGTGAAAAAAATTCTCCAGTAGGACATGCATGCCATCAATCTCTAATCTAATGTTAAAATTGCTAAGTATAAGAAAAATATTATTTTTGAAATAGAACCTTCCACAGTGAATACCAGTCTCTAAAATAAAGCACTTCAACCATTAAATATAAAAATGTTTGACATTATAAAAGTGAGTATGCCTTATGGATTTTAGAAATCTAAACCAAATACATCTTATAGGAAACAAGGTGAAAACAAGACTTTGCCCTCAATGGGACAGTAAGGAGATAAGAACCAGAAAGAGACTGTGTCCACCATGAGTGGCATTCTACCAGGAACTTATTTTCTCACTTACAGTGGGGCCTTGACTTACGAGTGTCCCGACTAACGAGTTTTTCGAGATACGAGCCGTCTCTCGGCCGATTTTTTGCTTTGAGTTGCGAGCTAAAATTCGGGTTATGAGCCAGCTTCAGATACCCCACCACTAGTTGGCGCAGCGAACATCACAGTGAACGCCACAACATCAGCCCAGCATCACGTGTCTCACTCGTTCACTTTGATTTGACATACGAGTAATTTGAGTTACGAGCTCCGTCATGGAACTAATTAAACTCGTAAGTCAAGGCCCCACTGTATTCTTCCCTTAGTAGGTCAACTTTCAATTACCCTCCAATGATGAAGAGCTAAATAATGAAGAAGTTATCCCATGAATAGAGACCCACTTTAGGCACCAATTTTAACCTCATTAAATAAAAAAAAAGCATTAATATGCAATATGCCAGTTGATAGCAACTTATAATAGTAAGCTAAAGGAGAAAAAGATGATTTTAAGTGGCCAAAGGTGATTATACTATCAGAGCCTTGGATAAAACACAGAGCAAGGAAAATTTGCCTTTGACATCCTTCATTTCCTTTTCTGCAGAGTTTATCTATTTCTGATTCACTCTTTCCCTCTAACCTTAACACCTTCACACCCCAGAAAATGTAGATCCTCACTTTTTTAGATAATCTATCACAGGTAATCCCTAATTTACTTATTGGTTAGTATTCCAGAAGTTTATAGCACCTTGAAATCATTTTCCCACAGAAACTACATTGTAAGTTCCTAGACCAGCTCGTAAGAGCCTATTTAACATACATGGTGCTGAAAACTGAAGATTTCTCCATAATAAACAGTGTGGCTTTGTTGGTTGGAGCATCGCCTCTTACACCAAAAGGTTGTGGGTTCAATTCCGGTCAGGGCATATACCTAGGTTGCAGGTGTGGTCCCAGGTTGGGGTATGCACGAGAGGCAACTAATTGATGTTTCTCTCTCATATCAATGTCTCTCTCTCTCTATCTTAAAAATCAATAAACATATCCTCGGGTAAGGGTTTAAAAAATGCTAGTAATGAAACAAAACAGGAAAGCAGGAACCACAAGTTATTTTCTTCCCCCAGGTGGTTTGGTAGCTATTGGTGGGTTGCATTCTCCTGCCATGCCCCTTTCCCACCAAACATCAAGTCTCCAATGAGACCATGCTGTCTCATCAATCTTAGACTTTACACATACTCTGTTCCTCATCATTTCTCAACCAAAAAGAAAAAAGAGGGATAGTTTTCACTTAATTCTTTTTCCTGGTTAATTTTTATCTCCATAAAAAGTGAAAATAATTAGGAGAATTAGGAATGCTCCCTGTCAAGAGAGCTTAAAGGTAAAGGAAGACAACTCTTCTACCACAGAACAATGTGAATCCTGAAGACAAAAGACTGTGGTTCAGATATACTATTTATTAGTTTTGTGAGTTTGAGCAAGTTTCTTTATATTCCTACGGCTCAGTTTCAGTTTCCTCATCTACATATAAAACAGGTGTATTAATACTATAATAGCTATCTGCCCAGCATCCTTCTCGTCTTCCCTTTGGGAAATTATCTCAATCCTACTATCTATTCCCTATGACTTTGGCAAAGCTGTCCATCAAAGGGGTGGGCATGTGATCCAGGATCCAACTAAGAGTACCTTAACCCTCTAACCCCAATGTTACTCCAGAAATGGACCACAACACAGCAAGACAAATAAAGTCCTTTTCTTGAAACAGAAGGGGAGGGGTTGCTCAGCTGGAATGAAGTAAGCCTGGAGCTGCCTGTACAGTATTCTCTACTACATGGAGAATACCCATATGCAAAAGGAAAGAGACTGGAAAAATGAGAGAAAGATTCCTGATAACCTCTGAGCCCCTGGCTCCAGCCAACCAAGAAGCCCTTCACAATACCCTTGTTTTTGCTTAAGCCAGAATAAGTTGTGTTTCTGCCCTCAGTAATGGGAAAGAGCTCTATTTATTAGCCATTCAAAGAGCTGTTGTGATATTTAATAACAACCTAAGTAGAGGGCCTGATAATTGGAGGTACTGTGATAATGTTGAAATTGTTACTCCTGTAATCAGAACATAACACCAAATAGTGAAAGAAAAGCACTGCTAGGAACTAAAACCAAAAGGCAGGTAAGCCTAAAATATACAAATATACTGCTGCAGGCAAAACTAAAACCAAAAGGCAGGTAAGCCTAAAATATACAATAGCCTTCCCAGCTGCAGGCAGCAGTCTGGGGACAGATATGGAGAAAGTGAATCCTCAGGAAAGGAGAGAATCTATGAAGCTCACAGCCATGATCAGACTTCAAATGAATTCACAGTGAAAAAACTAAGAAAGTTTATTTCTTGCACTAATATTCACAAGTATGATTGGCCTCCCAAAGACATTTGTCTTCTCATAATATCAGTGTCTCAAGATTTTAAGATCTCATAAGATTCAACTTAGTTTTCATGTGGTTCATAATTATTGCTTTAGTCATTGTTGTTTCCTAAGTAGTGACAAATGTTTACATTTTAAATATTTATGACAATTTAAGGAAAGTATCCTTTAACTTATGAAACAGATGAATACCTTAAAATTTTATGCAGAGAGAATTGTAATATCACTACATAATGTGAAATCACAAAACTAGATTATGCACACACATCCTGCCCCAAATCAATGAGCCGAGTTGAAAAATTTTGGAGAGAAATGAAGACTTAATTTCATGGCACTCTGAACACAGCCAATACCCCCAAAACAACCATCCCTCACTGAGCAGCTACTAGGATGTGTGCAAGCATAGTGCCAGCACAAGCCATGCTCCACAGAATATGCTCCGCTAGCTGAACTGAAGTATTCAGTCACTACACTCTGATAAAGTCATCATTTTTCCAGCGACAGAAAATTAAAAGAAGTTTCTCAATTTTAAATATTACTCTCCTAATTTTTTTCTCAAAAATATCATCTTCCTCTGTCTATTCAACCAGAATCTAATGTGAGGTACCATCTGAATTAGCACATAATTATCTAGTTAGTTATTTTGTTTGCTGTGGTATTCTACAAACAGTACCTCAATTTCTATACAAAGTTGGAAACCACAATGCTAAGAGAAATAAAAAATGTTATAAGAAAAATCATAAAAAGCTCCTTGTTATGACTGTCCCTTTTTATGTACATCAGATCTCAGAAATTTGAAAAACAATGTTTTGATCCAATGGACACTGTGAATCTTGTAAATGACCCATTATCACCTTTTGCTTTGGCTACAAGAAAGCTCAAAGCAATATCTTTGGCCCTCTCTAACAAATGAATGAACTATAAATAAAAAATAAATTATTTATACCTCCAAAGGAAGTGTCTGTATCTCTAAACGAAAATGTTACTTCAGCCCTAACTGGTTTGGCTTAGTGGACAGAGCGTCGGCCTGCGGACTGAAGGGTCCCAGGTTTGATTCCGGTCAAGGGCATGTACCTTGGTTGCAGGCACATCCCCAGTCAGGGGCGTGCAGGAGGCAGCTGAATTGATGTTTCTCTCTCATCGATGTTTCTAACTCTCTAACCCTCTCCCTTCCTCTCTGTAAAAAATCGATAAAATGTATTTAAAAAAGGAAAAAAAGAAAATGTTACTTCAGTGTACTATTCTACTATCTTTATTTTATTTCTTTACAAGATTTTCTTACCTGTACTCTTGAATTATTATTATTATTATTATTATTATTTTTGGTAAACTGAATTCACAACAGTTAAACAGAATTAGAGGGGTGTTTAAAATGTTACTACATTCTACTCTACTTTTAAGAGAATAAGGGAGAGGAACAGAAAACATTTGCAAAAAAAAGTGTGTGTGTGTGTGTGTGTGTGTGTGTGTGTGTGTGTAAGTCCAGGATGTCTGCCAGAATATACTATATACATGCCAATCTTCTATAATGTTGGTATCTGTCTACAGCATTATACAATAACTAAAATGCAGAATCACTCCAGGAACCCAAAGAGCCTCTGACTAGTAAATAAAATATTAAAATGTTTAAAATTTTTTCCTCCAAGTAACAGGATTAGCCTAAGACATCATTTTAGATATACTCACCATCGCCACTACCATTTTATAATTAAACCTTCAGAAAACCCAATTCCTATATAATAAAACCCTAATATGCAAATTGACCGAAGGGTGGAACGACAGGTCACTATGACATGCACTGACCACCAGAGGGCAGATGCTCAATGCAGGAGCTGCCCCCTGGTGGTCAGTGCACTCCCACAGGGGGAGCGCTGCTCAGCCAGAAGCCAGGCTTACGGCTGGGCTGGTGAGCACAGCGGCGGTGGCGGGAGCCTCTCCTGCCTTTGCTGCAGCCGGGCGGTAAGGAGTGAGGGGTCCCAGACTGCAAGAGCCCTGGACTGCAAGAGGGATGTCTGTCTGCCAGCTTAGGCCCTATCCCCAGGGATTGGGCCTAAACTGGCAGGCTGACATCCCCTGAGGGGTCCCGGACTGCGAGAGGGTTCAGGCCGGGCTGAGGGACCCCCCTGAGTGCACGAATTTCATGTACCGGGCCTCTAGTTAAAAATAGCAGCTTACCATTACTCAGGTCATCCAAACAATTATCGACATTCTCTAAGGTTCTGTCCTGGGCCTCTCAGAAACTCAGGGTGCTTCCACTCTCAGTTTCAACTTCTATGTCAGTGATTCCCAAAGTGGGCGCTACCGCCCCCTGGTGGGCGCTGCAGCGATCCAGGGGGGCGGTGATGGCCACAGGTGCATTTGTTTTAACTTTTTTTGTATTACCTTTCTATTCTGAGTTCAATAAATAGTTTCATAATTTCAAACTTCAATGTTTCTAATTTACACCTTTCTTTACTATATTTTACGAAAAAGGTAGAAACATTAATACATATATCTTTCTGTTTAATTGCTATTAAAATTTTAAAAAAATTAATTTCCAGGGGGCGCTGAGTAATATTTTTTCTGGAAAGGGGGCGGTAGGCCAAATAAGTTTGGGAACCACTGTTCTATGTGAATGATTCCAAAATTTCTATCCCACCTCAAAATGGAGCTTCATTATCTTGCTCTCCTTCCTCACCACCCACCCTCCCCTGGCCCATAAGCAACCCTTTCCAAAGACCTCATTTTGTCCAATTCCAAGGTTTCAGTCATCTTTGTTTCTTCCTTCTCATCTCTGGGATTCCATTTTATAAGACTTAGCAGTTTCTTTTTTTGATGTGTCTTTATGGCTGGCATTTTCTTTTGCATTTACATTTGTATTTAACTAGTTCAGGCCCTAATTAGAAGTTAGCCTCTCTTCTCTAAGACTTTCCATTTCACCCTACATTCCACTGTGTCAGCACTGTTTTTGTTTTTTTATCAAGTCACTTCCCTCAAACCTGTAGTAACAGCTTCCTATGACCTATTACAGTGATGGCGAACCTTTTGAGCTTGGCGTGTCAGCATTTTGAAAAACCCTAACTTAACTCTGGTGCCGTGTCACATATAGAAATTTTTTGATATTTACAACCATAGTAAAACAAAGACTTATATTTTTGATATTTATTTTATATATTTAAATGCCATTTAACAAAGAAAAATCAACCAAAAAAATGAGTTCGCGTGTCACCTCTGACACGCGCGTCATAGGTTCGCCATCACTGACCTATTACATCAAAGAGACATCTGTCAATCAAAACTTTCAGGGGAATCCAGGGTCTGGCGTCACACTAATTATATCACATTTCCCACAACTATCCCTAAATCACCACTCACTTCACTGGGCCAAGCAGATTAATGCGACCACCATGCTAAGTCACATTCTTTATTCTGCCTCTCCTCCCTGTACTGGATTCCCTCCTCTCTGCCTTAGCCAAATCTTACTAATTCTTTAGGACATGGTTCATGTCTTTTCTCAATAATGAAGCCCTCTCTCTCTTTATTATAACCCATACAAACCTTGCCCTTATCTGATTTCTGACAGTATGCACAATCAGTATCAAACTGCTCAGGAGTTAACTGTGTTCTAATTGTTTCATGTGTATGCTCTCCAAGTGGCCTTATCTATTCCCATGGTTTTAATTACAAACCGTAAGCTGACCTCCAAATCTAAATCTCCATACTTGTCCTTCTTCACTAAACTTCAGACTTACACATCCAGCTACCTACCTGACTGACAGTGCCTCTTGGATGTCTAACAGGCATCTCAGACTTACCATGTCCAAACAGACCTCTTGATTTTTATCACTTAAAACACTTATCTTCCAGTCCTGCTCACTTCATCCCCTTTATCTATCCAGATCCTCGGGACAAAAATCTAGAGGACTCTTAATTATTTTTCTCGCATCCCACTTTAATCCATAAGGAAGATTTGTTGGTGCTACTCCCAAAATACAGCCACAATCCCACCACTTCTCATTATTATCACCCTAGTTTAAGTTATAAAAATCACTGCTGCCTGAGTCTCCTAAATGATTTCTCTGCTTCCTTTCTTTCTCCCTTAGAGCCCATTCTTCACAGAGTAGCCCCGATGATCTACGGTACTCAAAGCTAAAATCTGATTATATAACTCTCCATCTTAATACTCTTCAATGGCTTCCTATTGTATTATTCAATTCAGACTCCCTCACATAACCTAGAAGGCCCTACATTATCTATCCCATTCCTACCTTTCTGGCCTCACTTTCTGCCACTCTATTAATTGCCCATATTGCTTCAGCATCTCTGGTTCATCTTGATCTGTACTGATGGCCTTCTGCACTGGCTGTTATCTCTGCCTTGCTCTTCATCCATAGCATCCTTTATATGACTGCTTTCTTTTTCATCTTTTAGGTCTCTGTTCTCAGAGAGACCCTTGACTACCACAAAGTCACTCTCCATCCTATCAGTTTTACTTTCTTTAGATATAATAAATAGCGATGAATACTATCCCCTTTGACTAGAATGTAAACTTAAGTTTTTTGAAAGCAGGTATAACGTAAGATTTTTTTAAATTTCCCATTACAGTTTGCCTGGGCATGTAAGAACACCAATAAATACCTAGTGATCAACTTATAAGATGGCACATCTGAGATCTGCAAAACTATAAATTTTTCTAAAGCCAGATAAAAAAGGGGACCTACTATTTAGTATAAATTAAGAATCACATGATTAACTCAAACAGGTTTTCCTAAACAAACACTAATTTCTATTTTCACCACTTAAATTTCATTTAAATGACAACCACTAAGTAAGTGATTTTCATGAAGCAAATTAAAGTCTTACTTAATGTTATAATGACCAGTTTTCAGTGTACTTCTATCGGGAAGCTGAGCAAGTTTCCTTGAGAGCATTTTAAAGTACTTTCTGCACTCCTGCACGCCTGTGCCTTGTTCATTGTCAGTAGAAGCAGAAAGCGGCAGTCCATCTCTAACACGAATAACTGAGGCAGATAAAATCATAGACATTTCAAGCGACAGAGAAGACCTAAAACAAAACGAAAATTTTGGGTTAGATAAAAAATTAAAGCCAAAGCTGATAAACAGTGTAAAAATGTTCAACTCATTAATAATCAAATATATACTAATTAAAACGATGAGTATGCTTTCCTTAACAAATTAGTTTAAAAAAATAATACCTGTTTCTTTCTGGCATTTTCATAAGTATTGGACAATATTTAACAGAGTTTAATATTTATGCCGCCCTAACTGGTTTGGCTCAGTGGATAGAGCGTCGGCCTGCGGACTGAAAGGTCCCAGGTTCGATTCCAGTCAAGGGCATGTACCTTGGTTGCGGGCACATCCCCAGTAGGAGGTGCGCAGGAGGCAACTGATTGATGTTTCTAACTCTCTATTCCTCTCCCTTCCTCTCTGTAAAAAATCAATAAAATATGTTTAAAAAAATAATATTTATGCCCTTTGACCACAAAAAATTTAAATACCATATAACCCTATCCTAAGGAAAGTAATTGGAGTCAGACAAAATTTTAAACAGAAAGGCATCCTTTCACAGCAATAACTGAAACAACATGAACATCCAATAACAGGGGGATAGTTAAATAAATTAAGATACACTCATATGACAGAATATATCGCAGATACTAAAGGTTATGTTTGTGAAAAATAGTTTAATAATGTGGTAAATTGCTCTCTGTTAGGTAGAAAAAAAGGCATGATGAAAGCACCAAATGTTTTCTATAGAGATAAAGAAAAGAAAGAAGGGAAAGATAAATGGAGAAACAGATACAGGAAGGAAACACATCAAAATTAGAATAATGCTTATCTCCAGGAAACAGTATGATGGTTATCATTTTATAATTTCCTAAATTTTCATAATATTTCACAATGGGCACATCTTACTTTTATACCCAGAAAAAAATATTATTTACAGTAAATCTCAAAGCTAAAGGAATTAATGGTTTTAATACTATCTTCAATCTTTTTACCAGAAAGTAAATCATAATAGCCTCTCTTATTACATTCTGATCATGCCTTATAAAAATAAATAAAAGGTCTACATAGGCGTGGGTTTGAAAGAAATCAAGTAAATAGTCAAACTTTGATTTGAAAAAATACGCAGTTCTCAAATTTTAGCTTATATAAAAAATCACTGGTAGTTTGGTTAGAAATGTTGATTTCTGGGCCAACCTCCAAAATATTCTGATCCATTGCGGAATGGGACTTGAGAATCTTCCCATTTTTAACAAGTTCCCCAGGTAATTACTATGCTATTGTCTAAAGATCATACTTTGAAAAACATTGAATTAAACATGTTGACAGTGTGAAATTAAGTGATAACTGTTTTCTGTTAGGCCATCAGAGCACTACCCCACTGAATGCTTCTCTTTCACCAGTAGTAGGGGCAACTGGAAACTGAAAAAATCTGGTAACAATTTCATGACATTATATCTCAGAGAGTAATTTAGTCTTTACCCACCCAGTTCAGGTGGGTCAATTTTATCTCATTCCAAAATGAAAAATTGAGTTAGTAATATATCGAAAATGGTATAGAAAACCAACTGGTACTGAGTTTGGAAATCAGGAATCCCTAATTTTTATTGCTGTGTGAAGTCAAAATCTGACTGCCCATTGACGATGGTAACTGATTGACAATAAACATTAACCCAAATAATAATGCTAATGCATTATACTTACTCCCCCCTTTTCCTGTTTTCATGAGGAAATGACAGGAATAGCTAGGTATTAATATGTCATTACCCTTTATATTTTTCTCCTCTATAATTTACTTAAAAGGGAAAAAACCCAGCAGGAATTAAATTAGCCTTTACCATAATGGATTCTTTAAAGTTCCAACATGACATAAATGATTTGGATAAAAGAATTTTTTTAAATTTTTTTTTATTGATTTCAGAGAGGAAGGGAAAGGGAGAGAGAGAGACAGAAACATCAATGGCGAGAATCATTGATCGGCTGCCTCCTGCACGCTCCCTACTGTAGGTCGAGCCTGCAACCCAGGCATGTGCCCTGACCAGGAATCAACTGTGACCTCCTGGTTCATAGGTCAATACTCAACCACTGAGCCACACCGACCAGGTGGATAAAATCATTTTTGTCCCTATTCAACTAATTTCTTTTCTAAAAGCAGTAGCAAGAGAAAACTGCGATTTCTCAAGGGATAAAAGCTATATTATAATCCCTTTTAAAAAGTGTTACCATGTTTTATTTAATTAAACCACAGTTGCAACATTTAGCTTAAGAAAGCAGGAAAATGTCATTTCATACTCTTAAACATTTATTATTTAAATGTAAATCTTTTATCTCTACAGAAATATACTGCAACACAAGGACTACTCCGATAACACGAGGAAAGGGTAGTAATGATAGTTTCCAAACACCCATATACTCAGTATTTAAAAGTAGACTGGCAATGGCCAATATGGCTTGGTTCTTTGGAGCGTCGTCCTGTACACCAAAAGGTGGTGAGTTTGATTCTCGGTCAGAGCACATACCCAGGTTGCAGGTTCGGGGCGTGGTTGGGGCATCTGATGGAGGCAACTCTCCGATTGTTTCTCTTTCTTTCTCTCTCTCTCTCTCCCCCCGCCCTCCACCCCCTTCACCTCTCTAAATATCAATTTAAAAATTTTTAAGAAAAATGAATAAAATAAAAGTAAACTGTATTCTGCCCTAACCAGTAACCGGTTTGGTTCAGTGGATAGAGCGTCGGCCTGTGGACTGAAGGGTCCCAGGTTCGATTCCAGTCAAGGGCATGTACCTTGGTTGCGGGCACATCCCCAGTAGGGAGTGTGCAGGAGGCAGCTGATTGATGTTTCTCTCTCATCGATGTTTCTAACTCTCTATCCCTCTCCCTTCCTCTCTGTAAAAAAAAAAATCAAAAAAAAAATCAATAAAATATATATATTTTTAAAAAAATAAACTGTATTCTTTCATGCCTGACCTTTTTAGGTTCCCAACAGAAATATTAGAAATTATCTTTATTACAGGGTGACAACTTTCATGTAATCTTTAAAGTTATTCCTTTCTTCATGACTTAAAAGACAAAAAGATAAGATTCATACTTCCTAAAACATATACTGAGAAAAGAATAACAACCTGTAAGGTCCGTTCATTTAACAAACATTTATTGAGTACTGTTAAAAAGAAAAGCCACAGGCCCAGAAGTGCTCACTTGTGCTAAAAGCCCATGATACCAAAAGCTAGATTAAATACCCACCCTGATTTTAGTTTCAGAATCTCCCAGGAGTGTAATTTTAAACCAATCAGTCTGGAATTTCCTGATCCACATAAGTGAGGTTGTTCTGCCAGGTAAGAGCCCCCCTGCCTGTCCTCGACTAACATAATCCACTCTTAACTTCTTAGTCCCAACCCTCCTTCTGCCTCTAAAAACATTCCATTTTGTACAACCCTTCAGAGCACTCTACTAGTTGCTAGACAGTATGCAGCTGTATTCATGACTAACTTAATAAAGCCAATTACATCTTCAAGTTTTATTTTTTAACAGTCCATACTGTATGCCCGGGACTATGCCAGACATTAGGAATACATAGTTCCTACCATCAAGAAGCAACAATCCAACCTGGCCGGTGTGGCTCAGTGGTTGAGCATCAATATGAACCAGAAGGTCACAGTTCAAGTCCTAGTCAGGGAGTATGCCCAGGTTGCAGGCTCGATCCCCAGTGTAGGGTGTGCAGGAGGCAGCCAATTGATGAATCTCTCTCATCATTGATGTTTCTGTATCTCTTTCTCCCTTTCCCTTTCTCTCTGAAATCAATAAAAATATATTTTTTAAAAAAGAGGCATCAATCCAGAATTAAAGAAATTCAGATTAAAAGAGCAAACACAATGCAAGATGCATTGACTACCACTTTACTAACTGTAAAACTAGCTAGACAATTTGCGTTTCAGATATTCCTTATACACACCTTTAGGCTAATACAATACAGCAGTGATATTCCCTGTCAAAATTCTTAAGAGGTTGTCAGAGAATTATCAGTAGATAAGATTTTTCTGAGACAGAAACGTTTCTTCTTCAGTCATTTGACCTACCATCCAAACCAGTTAACTAGGAAAAGAAACTGGGATGATTGTCCAATGAGCAATGCCAGGCTTGACTAACTTGCAGACAGACTTCCATAATCTTAGAATAAGCAATCTCTCCTCTATCAACTCAATATTAACATTCCCTGCCCCCCCCCTCTTCTTTTTAGCATGGATTCTTAATGCACTTCCTTGGGGGGAAAAAATCACTCTCATATAATCTGGACTGTGCTAGCAGAAAGAGGAATCTGTCCACATCAAGGCCAACCTAGAATTAGAGTACCCGTAGAGTGTAGGCAAGGTGGTGGTTGGGAAAACCAAGGAAGGCCCAGTGGGAATTGGGGAAAGCAAGAGGTTAAAACACTTGCATGGGAAAATTTAGGAGCAATGGTAGTTCTACAAGGGCCATAGATACATTTTTAGGCCCCTGGTCCATTTTCCCTCATCTTTTACACTGGAAAAATACTGCATATGCCTTAGACAGCAGCAGAAAAGTCACAGAGAATCTGAGTACTGAACTCTATATTCTCTCCCCAATGGCAATTGTAGAGGAAAAAGCCCAAGGTAGGTCTAGGTAAATATTTATGTAAAGGCTGAGGAAAAAAAAGTCCCACAGTGCCAAACTACTCTAGCAGTGGTTAGCAACCTTTTAGATCCAAGATAACAAGATGCTGACCTCTCTTCCTCAGAACCTTCTGGGGTAATGACCGTGGGCCCTAGGTACCAGGAAGGCAACCTCTCAAAAGTAATAAATAAAACCCAATGTGTAAGTATACTTTATATCTATTTTCTAGCAAGATGCTTTCATATATGCCTCTTTTACGATAAAAACATTTATATTGGGTTAATCGTGTTTTAAAAATATATTTTATTGATATTTTATAGAGAGGAAGGGAGAGGGATAGAGAGTTAGAAGCATTGATGAGAGAGAATCATCGATCAGCTGCCTCCTGCACACCTACTGGGGATGTGCCCGCAACCAAGGTACATGCCCTTGACCGGAATCAAACCTGGGACCTTTTAGTCCGCAGGCCAAAGCTCTATCTACTGAGCCAAACCAGTTAGGGCTAATTGCTCATATTTTATTTTAGTTCATTATTTCCCAAACTTCAGTCATCCAAGTACCATTTTCAGAATTCTTACCATATCTATATCCCACCTGTACTATTTATCTATCTAATATGTCTTTCAATTGATTTATTTTTTGCCCTACCCTTAGCAATAGTATCTGTGAAATCAGTGTTAATGTGCCAGGATTTTCTCCCAACTTAATAAATTAAAATAAAGAACTTTTGGGGTTTCAAATATGAGTGTGTGAAAATTTTGAAGAATTATTATTTTTTTAATGTTCATCTGCCTACTACTCAAATTATCTTGCATATCTGATGGTACCAGAATTTGGTAAACACTACCGTGGTACATATTATTTTCAGTAAAAGTGCTAACAGATCTGTGAGAATTGGGAGAGGGGTTTATTTGGAAAGAAAGCTATACTAACTGTGATGCACAGGGTGGGAGCAAGATTAAGTGAAAAGGGAAGTTCTTTATACAGCCATACATTAACAGGAAGGCACTTGGGAAACAGTTTAGAGAAGAAAAATGTTAAGGTTACCAAGGATAAGCAGAATTTATTTTGCAACTTGTCCCACCCCCAACCTCTCCAGCAGCCTTTGATACTCCTATTATAGGAGCTTGCACTGAACAGTATGTTTAAGACCTCAGGCTCCAGAGTAGATTAACACCACATCTAGGAACAGGGCCCCAAATACATGCACAAATGTGTCAATCCCGAACATTTGTGTAGCACCTCATAGTTTACAGTGAGTAGGGATAGCCTTCATTTTAAAGATGAGGAAATGAAGGCTCCCTTTCTCAATGTCACTCTGCTACTATATAGCAGAACTGGTGCTTAAACCTAAGTTTCTTCTATCTCTACATCACTGTGCTACACCAGTCACCTAAAACCAACAAGGGGCAAGAACCCAGTGATACAGAAACTATCTAGCTACTCATTTTGAAATAATAATAAAAGAACAGCTTACGTTTTCTTTAAGAGGCTGTATAGTAATTAACAGGATGAACTCTGGAACTAGATTGCCTGGATTCCAAAACTGGCTCAACCATGTACTAACTATGCCTTTCTATACCCAATTTCCTCACCTATAAAGTGTGGTTACTAACAGTATATATCTCATAGAATTATTTTAAAGAAACTAATAGTATCTACCTTACAGGAACATGTAAAGAACCTGAAGCACTGCCTTGCAGACTTAAAGTGCAATATTAAGCGTTGACTATTACTATTATTATTATTATTAACTGACTACCCTCGAGTTACCAGGTACTTTATACACATCACCTCATGGAAGTCTTCCAATACCTGTGAGGTAGGTATTATCAGATCCATTTTACCTTTGAGGAAATTCAAGCTCAGAAAGGTTAATGTATTCAGTCCCCAAACTAGCAAGTGATCGATTTAAACTCAGGCCCAACTCTAATCACCCTCTGAGGCATTGCCTCTCAACATATCCAAGCTTCTTATTCAACTGCATGGAGAGGAAGGCCACAGGCACCACCACCCCTGCTTTGATAAGAGAGCTGGGCATCTTTCATACACCAATATAAAATATACCTAGATTTTTAAAAATCATACACCAAAAGAAGCACTAAACTGAGACCCTGGGTTCTCAACACAGGTAATGTCCAGATGTCCCATTAACTTAGGGTATGGTCACAGATGTCAGATTCAATTACTGAACTACAGCCCTCATAAACCAGTACCTCATAGGTACTGTTCAAGATACTGCCTAATCCCTTATAACAGTGGTTCTCAACCTTGGCTGCACATTAGAATCACCTGGGAATCTTTTTAAAATCCGCCCAGAAATCAGGATTTTAAAAAGATTCCCAGGTGATTCTAATGTGCAGCCAAGGTTGAGAACCACTGCCTTATAATGTCAGCACATGAGCAAATGCCAGTAACGTCATTCAGGGAGTTTTAAGAGTGGCTGTTCCACCTGTGAGCTGGGATCCCAGCATCTCCAGTCCAGCGGCTGACTCCTCAGCCCTGTGCTTTGCCTCGGCTCAACAGGCACAGAAAGGACTGTTTCTCCAGCAGCCAACCACCCCCGATGGACGACCCAGGGAACTCCGGCGCACCAGAAAATCCCAACACTGCTCTCACTGGCAGAGAGAGTCAAGCCGGCTGCGGCTCAGTCTTTTATTTTGCAGCCCTTTTCCATCTGTCCAGCCAACTGCTCAGGTCTCTATGCACATCGTTCCCAAAATGCCAATAACAAGGCCCGATGAGGTTTCTGAGGGCCAGCGCGGGCAAATCTCTGGGCTCAGTGCTCATTCAATCCCCCGAAAACGCAAATTTAGCGCCCGATTCGAATCCCACCCTGCCTAAAAGGAATGGAAAACGCCACGTCAAACTCTCGGGGGGCATCTAAGCAGCCTGGGTGGATCCCGGGGTTTCCGACACCTGGGCGCCAGGGAATGCCCTCCGCCGCTGACATCCCAGGGCGACTGTCCCTCCCCGTCGGACCCCGGCCCCGGCTATACCGTACCCACGGAAGGTCAGCCCGGGGGCAACCGCCGCCCACGCGGCACCAAAGACCCCGCAAGTCGAAGGGGACGGAGTCCCCGCAATCCCGCTCCTCCCGTGCTCCGTGGTTCCAACCACACCGGCTCCCGCCCCCACGGCACGGGCTGGGTTCCTGCCCTGGAATTGGTCTGTAGATACGCAGGCAAGGGCCAGGGCCGTGCGGGGAGGCGGGGAAATGGAGGGGAGCAGCCGGCCAGGGGTTTGAGCGACCCCGAGAGCGAAGAAACGAAGACTGGGAGGGGCCAGTGCGTACCTGTCGAGCTGGGACCTGCCGCGCCAAATGACGCGGCCTGCAGTGCATTGTGGGAACAGGGCGTGGCCTTTGCGCGGGGCAGCCAGGCGTCCGACGTGGCCGGCTCCCGGCGGGATCGAGCCCCGCCCCCTTTCCCTCAGCACGCCCAGCCAATCAGGTTCTCTGGGAAGGACACACTAACCCGCCCCCTCCTGGGGCCGACGTAGTCCCGCCCCCTCCCGGAGAGATTGGCAGTTTTCCAAGCACCTGCAGGAAGAAATGATGAACTCCGGTACTGACTGTCCACGCTGCCCCTCACAAATAAGACGAACCTCTTCTGCCTCCTGCCTGGTTCCGGAAGCAGTTTGTTTCTCACGCGGCCCCTTCCAGCCTTTGCACCTGCCATGCATGATTAAACAAGCACTTACTACTTGTTTACCATGTACCAAGCACCGTGTTAGGCACTGAGTTACAGGAGTGAACATAACACTGGATGGAGTCTAAAGTATAACAGGAGCAAGAAACGTTAAACCATAAATCATTATAAGATTATAAATTATGACCATTACTATGAAGAAAAATTACTGGATGCGATGATGGGTTAATTCTGGATTATCAAAAAAGCTCTTTGAAGAAGTGCCTTTTAAGCTCCAGGCATATGAAATAGTCTTTAAGAATGTTAAAGGCCAAGGGAACATTATATGTGAGATTTGGGGGGCATGAGGGAACTTGGTGTGTTCTAGGAAGTGAAAGGAAGTCAGTGTGGTTGGGGTGTAGGAAGCAAGTTTGGGCTGAGGTGAGGCAAAGGCCAGACTATGCAGGCCCTTATTGGCCACATTATAAATTTTAGACTGTATTTTGGAATGTATCCTAAGGTCATTGGGCAGCTAATAGAGATCTGATTTACATACTTAAAAGCTCACTCAGGCTGTTTGTGCGGAATCGTTTGGAAGAGGGCAAGAGGGATGGCTGGAAGGCCAGTTTGGAGGCAATTATGTTAGTCGAGGCCAGAGATGATGGTGGCTTGAACTAGGGTAATGGCAGTAGAGACACAAAGAGATGGATAATTTTGAGACATGTCGAAATCAGAGGTGGAATCCAAGGGACCTAATGGATTGATTGGTTTGCTGAGAAGCGTAAAGAAAAGAGGAGCATTAAGGATGACTCCTTAAGTAACTAGATGGGTTAAGAAGACATTTACATAGAAGGCAGAGAAAATGGTTGGGATAGGTTAAATTTGAGGTGCTTATAAATGGAGATATCAAACATATTTGGATATGTAAGTCTGGAATTCAGAAATGTCGGTACTAATTATATAAATGTAGTGGTTGTAGGTTAACCCAATAATTCAACTCCCAGGTGTATATGCAACAGAAATGTATTCCTATGTTCACCAAAAGACATATATAAGAATGTTCACAGGATGAATAAGTTTTAGAATATTCACATAGTGGAATAGTACACAGGACAGAGAATGAACAAACTTCAACTGTGCATAAAACATGGATGAATCTCACAATCATAAAATTGAGTGAAAAAAGTCAGTTGCACAAATTGTATACTACATGATTCCACTTATATAATGTTAAAAAACAGACAAAAATAATATATGGTAATAGAAGTTAGGATACTGCTTATCCTTAGGTGATATTAATGTTTGGAAAGGGTCACTAGAGGGCTTCTGGAGCTCTATTAATGTTCTCCTTGATCTGGGTGTTGATTACACCAGTGTGTTCAATTAATGAAAATTCATCAAGCTGTACTTAACATTTATGCATTTTAATATGCATTTTATTATTCCATAGAAAGGTTGCATTTCTAAAATGTTATGAGTGATTCAGCCATAAATAAGTAGCTGTACCAGACTTACATTCCTACCACAAATGATAGAAAACTGGACCAAATTTATGAAATAAATGTTTTCAGACATTGGACAATAGGTACAGTAAGACTGTAATCCTGGAAAGAAGGAAAACAAATAAAATGACCCCAAGATTTCCGCAGATTTCTTTCTGGGGGTATTTACCTGAAGACAGGATAGAAGAAAGCCAAGCAGAATACAGTACTTGTGGTAACTGAGGAGGAAAAAAAAATTGAAATTAAGAGAGATTGAGGCAATTAAGTTTGCATGGCAGAGAAATATTCATAAGGTCTCCTTGAATCTTTGGTGTAGGTTTAAGGATAGACTTTATGAAACTGATTAAATAACAACTACTGCGAGAACTATAGGTTGAACAACTCCTAGAGCTTGAATAGAGTCAGGAAACATTTAATATTTTACCAATTGGAATGGAGAAACCTTATTAAACACCTGGGCATTTTGTAAAGAGACCTCAGAAAGGCCACTCTTTAGAGATGTTATCCTAAAAATAAAAGGCCAAAGTGAGAGGCATCAAGCATTTATCTAAAAATTTTTTAAAAAGAAGAATAGGAAAGCACTGTTTCAGGCAGAAACCCAAACAGTGGTCCAATTAGAAGACAAAGGCAAGGGTTATTTATGAGAAAAGGAAGGGGAACAATTACATCAATAGAAATAAGGCGTTTATATGGGTGCCAATAAGCTAACACAGTTAAATTTTCAGTTTGGTAGTCATAATATCTGCTTTCTTGTTATCCTTACAGACAGTTCTTTGGGACACATACTACTTTAGGTCTAATCCAAAGGTTATTTTGCCCTGTTTTACATTCCAAAGGTTTGAGACATAAGATGTGCAAGGTAATTCCTCTGGGATGACAGCTCTGACTCCATTTTAAAGTGGTTCTGTTTATATTATTTTTAACTAAATTTATTGGGGTGAGATGGGTTAATAAGATTATATAGGCTTCAAGTGTACAATTTTCTGGTACATTATCTATATATTGCAATGTGTGCCCACTATCCAGAGTCAAATCTTCTTCCACCACCATATTTGACCCCCTTTACCCATTCCTGCCCCTCAACCCCTTTCCCTCTGGTAACTACCATACTGTTGTCTGTGTCTATGAGGTTGTGTGTTTTTTTCTTGTTTGTTCATTGGCTGCTTTCAGTTTTATATCCCACTTATGAGTGAAATCATATGATTCTGAACTTTTTCTGACTGACTTATTTCACTTAGCATGGTAGTCTCAAGATCCATCCATGTGTCACAAATGGCAGTATTTCATCTTTTTTATGGCTGATTAGTATTCTATTGTATATATGTACCATATCTTCTTTATCCAGTCACCTAGCAAAAGACACTGTGGTTGTGTCCATCTCTTGGCCACTGTGAATAATGCTGCAATGAACATAGAGGTGCATTTTTTCTTTGCAAATAAATGTTTTCAAATTTTTCAGGTTACAGAGATAAAGCTAATCTAGCCCAAGAGTGAAGGCTATTCTAGACTCACTCAAACAAAGCTGAAAAAGCTTATTGAAAGTAAATTAACTGCTAGCTTGAATGAAACTTAAGAATATTTACAGAAAGACAACAAAATCGAGGCACTCAACTATGTAATGCCTACAATGTCCACTATTCAATAAAAAATTACTATAGTATACATGCGGAAACAGGAAAAAGTAAACCATAAACAGGAGAAAAATCAGTTAATAGAAACAAACCCAGAAATGACAAGGATGATAAAATTAGCAGATAAGGACTTTAAAGCACAGCTATTATATGTGTGGTAAAGAATTTAAAGGAAAACCTAAGTATAATAAAGAAATAGAAAATGTAAAGAGAACCAAATAAAACTTCTATATATGACCCCAAATTGTGTTGGCTTCTAGATTAGCATTTAAGGAAGTTATGGGAAGGAAATTCAAAGAAAGAAGTAACTGGAACTCTCCAAAAAGATCATCAGACTTGTACCCTGGGTATCTTAGGGTTAAAATTATATAATATTCAGGCCATGAGAAGGTGTTTGGGGATCAGTAATTGTTTGAATTTATGATAGCTGGAAAGAAGTTTTGTCCCAGGTGTTAGAGCTGAAGTTGTCCTTCAAAGGCTTTCCAGATACTTGGACCATTGCCCTATAGGTAGAGCCATGGGGGAAGCCCTAAGATGAGTTGGGTGGTCCCACCCTTCCAAGGCTCTCACCTCCCCTCTTTCCATGCTGCCCATTCCTCTCTGTGCACTAGGTCTATGGTCGGCAAACTTCGGCTCGCGAGCCACATGCGGCTTTTTGGCCCCTTGAGTGTGGCTCTTCCTAAGCCTTAGGAGTACCCTAATTAAGTTAATAACAATGTACCTACCTATATAGTTTAAGTTTAAAAAATTTGGCTCTCAAAAGAAATTTCAATCATTGTACTGTTGATATTTGGCTCTGTTGACTAATGAGTTTGCCGACCACTGCACTAGGTGATCTGCTGCCTGCAGATGGAATCCTGATCCAGGAGAATGATCTCAAGATTGATGAGCGTGCTCTAACTGGGGAATCGGACCATGTCAAGAAGTCCATGGAAAGAGACCTCATGTTGCTCTCAGGTATGGCTTGTGGCCACCCCTGTTTTCATTATGCCTACCCCCAGACAGCCAAGCCACAGAGACCTGATCCATACCCTGCTCTCTCTTCTGTCCCTGTCCCATTGTCCCATTTCCTTCTGGATTCAACTGGGCCAACACTGTATTAGTGGGTTGAATACATGGATATCAGGTAACCTAAAAGAGAGTTATCTGTGAAGCAAGTGCTATAGGGGTCTTGAAAAGGCTCTGCTGGTTGAGAGTGAGTTGTGGGGAAGGAGCCTTACCCTAAAGCAGTTAAACACAGTTTTCTCCTTACCCTCCCCAGGTTTCTTGGTCTATTTTAAATAGGCCCAGATCTTGACCTTTTCCTACTATCTGCTGAATACATTATTATCCATGGGGGAGAAATGAAGAGGAACTGTTTTTTCTTTCTTTCTAACTTTATGTTTCACACCAAAGCATGGATAGGTGTAAACAAAACAACCCTTCCCCCATCTTCTCATACCCATGTCATGGAAGCTTCTAGACAGATGGTAGCAACTGCTGTGGGTGTCAACTCCCAGGCTGGAATCATC